TTGCCGTTGGCGTGGCACAAATTACGTTTCCTGTCGAACTCCGCAGAGGTGCTGGAGAAGGCTAGGTCGGTCCTAAGCAAGTACGCTGGGGTTCTGACAGACACGGCAGTCAACCTTGGGGTGGATTTCAGTCTGGGAGAGGGCACTATGAAACGACGGTTCATTGACGAGGGGACGGGGAGGAAAGATCTTAGGCAACGACGGAAAAGGTGGAAGGTGGCGTTACGACGAAAAGCAAACATCGACAACCTCAGGGGGTGTGCTGGGATGCAGGAAACATGGAAACTTTTCTTCTGCGGCCAGACGCCCTCCATGACTTATGGGTGTGATGTGGTGGGCTGGCATCCCAGAGATGTCAAGCGTCTGCGGACCCTGGGGGCCAAAGCTCTGGGGATCTTCGTGCCAGGGACCCAAGTAGACCTCCAATGGGCACTGCAGCCTGCGAAGGACCCACTGTTCCACGCCAGCGAGGTTGTGACGAGATATGCACGGGAATGGTGGACAGCCACCGACCCGCAGTGGAGGGCAGTAGACAACCTCTGCCCGAAGACTCTCCACCAAGCCTTCAGGACGAGCCAAGAGCAACTCAACGCAGAGGGAGCCCGTGGCTGGAGGCGACGCGGCACCAACCCTGTGGCGGACATGCTGCTCTGGACCAGTGTGGTGGAGTGGGATTGGACAAGTCCTGCAGAATCTATTGCCACCACGGGGGCCACTATGTCTCTGACAGTGACCCCACCTTAGATGGTAGGAGAGATGTTTTTACACGATTTGCGAGACACCCTGCTCAGGGCAACTATTATCAATATCCTTGGGGATGAACCTGCAAACGCCAGGGCCCGCGACATTGTGCAGAACGGCTTGTGGGCCACGCCCCCGAGGCAGTTCCAGAACTCCTCGAAACACAGTTTTGACGACAAAGGTTTGATCAGGAGGATATCCTGCAGGGGGTACACCACTGGGGCTACACTACATAAATGGGGGTACAAGCTGGAACCAACCTGCCCACACTGTGGTGCTTTGGACACCGTTCACCAACGTGTTTGGCATTGCCCGTTTGGCGAACCAGCGAGGTCGGGATGTGATCCCGAAGTGCTGGAGGCTGGAAGGGCGTCTAGCCCAGATGACCCCCTGTTTGCCTCTCTGTGGTGTGAAAAGCCAACAATTGCTGTTCTCCCCTCAAGGAAGCACCGTACAACTATTTCGGAGCCGATTCTGAAGCCATTCCCCCCCTTCATGTTCGAGGGAACTCACAACCTATTCATCGACGGATCTGTGATGTACCCCCAGGAATACGACATTGATAGGGGTGGATGGGCGGTCGTGGAGGTTACTGCTATGGGTGAACTAATCAGGGGGATCAGAGGCCCACTACCTCAAGAGCTCCCACAGGCAGCAGTCATGGCAGACCACTTCGGGCTCCTTGCCAGTATAAGACATTTGAAAGGGCACGAGCGGACCAGCCTGTATGCGGACTGCGCGGCCTTGATCACGGGAGCCAGCAACATGAGCCTCAGCACGGGGCCCGCCAACAAGTTTGGAGGATTCTGGAGGATGATTCGCACTTGGACGGCTGCAGGAGGCTTCTCGGGGGAGATTTACAAGGTGAAGGCCCACACCATCGACGTGCAAGGTCGAGCAGATGAGAGCCAACAAGAACGTTGGCTGAGTGAGGGCAACCCCCCCCCCCTGCCCGCCCCCACCACCTTTTGGTCGCCAGGCAGTTGGCCACGGGGGTCCCACACGTGTGGTGCAGCCGCTGTGGGCACTACACTGCGGGGACCAAGACCCAAGGGCTCCAATAATCGTGTCGTAGTGTCAATAGGCAGCAACTCCGGCTGCTGAGGAGGAGGAAGTTGCCTTGGCCCAGGGGGCCAAAAGGGCTGCTCTTCCCCAGCTGGCCAATTAAGACACCCACCACCGAATGGTGGGGCCTAGTTGCCTGATTGTGTATCAACGGACGTGAGGATGTTATTATTCTTCTTTCGGACCCAATGGGTCCACTTTGCCCCTTCGATCATCGATTGTTGAGGGTGAGCTCGGGCCGAGTAAAACGGAGGAGGAGGAGGAGGAGGAGGAGGAGGAGGAGGAGGCGGAGGCGGAGCGTCCTCCTCAACGCCATCCTGATCCTAACCTGCAGGCGGCGCGCCCCCAGGGCACCACCTGCCGTGGCCAGGCCCGCCCCCCTCACCGACGGAGCGTCGGGCCCTGGGCTTGCCCGGGGGCGACCGCCCGCACTGCGCAGAGTGGCTGTGGCGCTGCTGATCGGCGACCCGTAGGCGTTGTGTCTCGTGGCTTCTCATCTTGCCATCTTCGAGCTTTCTGGGGGACCTCTGGGGGCCTCTCGGGAGCACCTTCGGCCGCCCTGATGCTGGGGACGATGTCAATGACTCTTTGCCTTTCTGGGCAGCGATAGGCCATAGCTCGTGAGGAGCTGGGTCGGGCCTCGACGTTGCCCCCACAGGCCGTCCTGAAAAATACCACCAGCCCTCTGGGCGCAGGTCGTCTAAAGGCGTTTCCTTTTCAAGCTTCCTTCCTTTCCCTGCTCGGGAGGTTTACCTCCCCTCCCATCCCTGGGTCCCTGGGTCTGGACGGGCTCCCCCGCGAGAGGTTAGAGCGTCCAAGATGGCCCAATAAAGCTTCAAGATGGCTTTGGCTAGCCCAAGGTGGCCTCCAAGATCGTCCAAGGTACCTCAAGACGGCTCAAGATAGCCTCCAGCACGCATCCAAGAGGCCTCAAGACGGCCCCAAGACGGATTCAAGCGCCCTCCGAGCCCTCCAAGGATTCCCCCAAGAGGCCAACACGGGTTCAAAACCGAGGTAGCAAATCAATGTGTTTTGCCTTTTCGCTTTTTCGCTTCCGATAGGCTCTTGAGGCGTCAAGATAACCCCAAGATGGCCCAACATAGCCCCAAGAGATGCCCAAGATGGCCCCAAGACGGCCACAAAAGCGCCCCAAGAGCGGTCCAAGAGGGCCCAAAAATTTACTACTCCCCTCTTTTTGAGCGAAGGGGTCCAAGACGGCCCCAAGAGGCCTCCCAGACCCCCCACAAGAGCCCCATGAGGGCTCCAAGAATCCCCAAAAGAGCCCCAAGAGAGCCTCAAGAGAGCCCCAAGAGACCCCAAAGAGAGCCCCAAGAGAGCCCCACGGGGAGCCCAAGAGAGCCCGTAAGATGGCCCCAGGAGATTGCTCGTGGCCCGCGGAGGGGGAATCAGAATTCCATGAGGAGGCCGGAATTTTGACCCCCCTCTACCGGGCCAACTGTCGCATACGTTAGGTCCTGAGGCCCGACCCCCTCACATTTGAGTCCGTCGTCGAACCGGATTTTCTATTCTATGGATGGAGGCCCGACCTCCTCCTCTTTGCCTCTGTCGTCGCTTAGGCTCGAAGTGTAATGTACATGATACTCTTTTGAGGCTCGTGTGTCATGGCATGTGCATACAGTCACCTGCGCTAGAGACGCTTACCACGGGGAGCACCACGTCGTATTGCACTGATTTTCATTTTGAACTTCAATGCGGGACAACTATTTGTGCTCCTTGTTTTTCTGAAGACGGCCGCGCAACTGCATGTTTCCAGCCGCCCCTGACTTACTAACTCCCCTGCTGATCGTTTCTGGATGGGCTGGTGGGGATATTTTTTGTCGCAGCTGCAGGCCAACGGGTCCGACAGCGTCAGCACAGTAAGCTCGGGCCACGAGCGACCTTATTGCCGGCGCGCGCGCCGAGCGAGCGGGCAAAACCCACCGCCGAGGGAACTGGTGGGGATACTTTTTTTCGGTCGCGGCCGCGATTGAAGAGGCACGCGGCGGGCAGGGTGTCCGGGCCAACGGGCAAGCCTAATTAGCTACAAGAGGCGCACAAACCGGCCGGCCCACTCACAAAGCAGCCGCGAAGCTGTGGGAGGACTGACGGCGGGGGGCATCCTGGGAAGCTCGAGCACATGCACTGGACAAAATGTCGAGGAATTCGATGCCTGCCATGAGGCACGGCCCACACAGTGACAAAACGTGTACCTGAGCAACCGAGTCTGTCGTTCTGAGTGGGGGCAGGCGCGAGGCCCGTGGAGCGAGTCGCCGGTGGGGCGCCAGGCTCCAAACGCCCTAGACGACGTGTGCTAGCCAGGGGGGCTGAGCTGTCGCGGAACGTGGTGCAAATTGGTGGGGATACGCGAGGCGTCAGTAATCCCACCAGCCCTCTGGGCGTCGGTGGTTTAGAGCGTTTCCTCTTCCACCCCTCCTTCTTCCCCTTCGGGGAGGGGTTTACCCCTCCCCCTACCCCCTCCCCACTGACCTGGACAGGGGGGGCCGCGGGTAGTTAGAGCGTCCAAGAACGACCCCTGGGAGGGCTAAAATTCGACACCCCTCACGAGGATCGTGCCCCCCAGGGGGGCGACGCTAAAAAATGCTTCCCCCTTCTGCGATCGATGTCCTCCAAGAGGGCCTCAAGAGACGTCTCGGACTCTCCTCTTGCGCCCTGCGCGCGGGCGGGCGGAGCGCCGCCCGCCCGCCCGCGAGGCCCAAGAGCCCACCAAAACGTTCGAAGATACCTCCAAGACGCCACCAGGGAAGAGGAAGAGGAGGAGGAGGAGGAGGAGGAGGAGGAGGAGGAGGAGGAGGAAGGGAGGAGGAGGAGAAGGCGGAGGAGAAGGAGGAAGAGGGGGAGGAGAACAGCCGCCGATCATCGGCGCTCTTCGTTCGAATGCCTGGTGTAGGATGGGCTGGTGGGGATACGCGAAGCGTCAAGAATTCCAGGCGTCTACTGAGCTGGACGGCCCACAAACTCTCAGAGAGTGCGTGCCTGCATAACGCTCGTGAGAAGCTGGGTCGGGCCTCGACGTTGCCCCCACAAGCCATCCTGAAAAAATCCAGGCGTCCACTGAGCTGACCGGCCTACAGACTCTCGGAGAATGCGTGCCTGCAGAACCCACTTCCGCGCTGCCATCGTCGCCCAATCAACCGCAGAACAACTGCCACACACCGCGTAGAACTAGCAATGTGTCACGCGAGTGTCTGATTCAGGAGACCACGTGCGGACACGTGGCGCGGGCCGTAATTACGCACGCACCTCGCAATGAGCGCCCAATTCTCGCAGAGACGGGCGCCCCAAGAACACCGTGCTGGTGCTTCGAGCTCGAGCACGGCGACGACTGTGAGCGCTGACACTGCCAGCGCGCTGTTGGTAGAAGGAGGGAGAAGGACGAGGAACATAATGCAATTGCAGGCATCCGTGACGATACTCGCTAGCCGCACGGATGCCAGTCCATGGTGGAGCACCCGCGGGTCTGGAGATACACGCTCACCGTAGCGGGCACAGATACGCTGCCCTTGGACCTCGAAGGGGTTCGGCTGCAAAAGCTGCCGTTCTCGCAGACCGCGCATGCTCACTACAACGCTTGCTTCGTGTACCCCTTCAGAGCGAGCGATGCCAAGGCGGGGTTCTGCTCACCGAGCACAGGGCTCAGGCGCAGCGGGCGCTCCCGGGTTGCCGCCATGCGGGCGCAGGGATCCCTCCTCCGCCCGTCTGACCACTGGCCCTCGGCCGACGCCGTGGCTAACCCTGGGGCGGCACCGACCGCGCTCGGGCCACCCGCGGGCCCGCGCCCTGCTCCGGGCCCGCGCGGCCGTGCGGGCCGGCGCACAGGCCCGCGGAGCACACCGCCATCGACCTCGCGTCCTGCGGCGACCCCGCCCCCGGCCCCCCGACCAGGACCAGGTGCCGCTCGGGCTGCCGCACCGCCAGGTGCACCCAGCCGAGCGCGCTCCCCGCCTCTGGCTGCCGCGACACCTCCTTGACGGCGACGGGCGCCGTCGCCACCCTGTGCACCACCACGTGGTCGACTCCTGGGGACAGGTCCGCAGCCCGAACCACCTCTCCCCCGTCAGCAGTCTGCACTGGTTGGTCCACAGTCATCGCCAGCTGCGTTCCGTCGTCGAGGCCGACGTTGGTCCACGCAGCGGCCAGGAACTTGACCTGCTTCTCGAGTACATGGGCGTACCTGACCGACCGCCCCAGCGTGTCGTAGCACAGCACCCGCTGACCTTGCCCGAGGTCCCGGAGCAGGCAGGAGCCAGCCTGGCCCTCGACCCACACGCTGGCCTCCAGCGGTAGGCCGCCCGGCCCCTGCGGGACGGCGCTCTGGCCGGGCCGCGCGGCCGCCGAGGCGGCGGGCTCGCTGGAGGCGGAGCGCGGGGAGCCCGGGCGGAGCGGCGCAGCGGCGCCGCCGGGCGAGTGCGAGGAGGCCCCCGCGACGGAGCTCCCCAGCTCCGCCACGAGGTCCGCGCGGTCCTGCATGCACTCCAGGGAGAACTCGGCCTGGACGCGCAGGCCCTTCTCCCGCAGGTAGGACAGGTGGAGCAGGCGGGCCTGGATCTCGGAGCTCCGCTTCCCGCTGCACATCACCAGCACGATGCAGGCGAAGAAGAGCAGGTTGGTGCTCACCATCCTCGTGTCTGGGCTGCCGAGGAGGTAGGCTGCGGCCACATACTCGAGCACGGATGCCAATGCGATGGGCACAAACAACTTCCATCTGACCATCACGCCTGACCCTGCGATACACAAGGTGAGGCCCAGCAAGAACGGGGCGTCTGAGCCTGCAAGGTCCACCCCATACACAGCACTCGGATCTTCGTAGCCGCACGTACGTGCAATGTAATGTCTTATGTTGATGCATGTGTGAACCTCGCACACCATCATAGCAACAGTAGCCCCAGCTTCCATGCCACGTGTTCTTAGCAGGCCGTGGCCCGACAATGCGATGGCTGCGAGCAACACTGACAATTCAACGCTGTAGCACGCAACCTGCAAAGCCACCTGCAACCTCTTCAACCTGTGTGCTTCCTGCGTCTGGCTCCCGTGTTCCGTGACACCGGACACATGGAAGTACACCGCGGAAGCCGCCCCGCACAAGATGACGACGACCACGCGCCGAAAGGACGACCGCAGCTGCTCGCGGCCGCTGCTCAGGAAGCCGCTCTCCACCCGCGGGTCCGCGAACGAGAGCGTCCAAGCATCGATCTCGCCGTCGGGTCCCAGCCTCCTCGGCGCCGCCCGTGCGAGCCCGCGCCGCAGTCTGCGCACAGCGGCCCGCCACGGCGGCGCCCCAGCATCCATGGGCTGTCCGCGGCGGCCCTCGAGATCTGCGAGGTCCGCTCCCTGGGAGCGACAACGGCTTGAGCTAGTATGGCTACGGCCAACCAGTATAGTAAGGATGCGCGATGAGGATGCAGGGGCCTCGGGCGCCCATTTCGAAGCTTTTCGAGCGGGGCGCGACCAACAGAAGTGGCCAAGGATGCACCGAGGAGGCAAAGATGCAAGGGTACCCTTGGGAAAATTGTCCGTCCTTACTATGCGGGTTGACTGTACGGAACCTCTCACCTGAGGCTCTTGGCTCGTGGCAAGATGGTAGAATTTGCTGCGGGCACCTGGATACCAGAACGCGAAACTGGCCATCGCTCGGACGTCCATTCATTCCCCGTGCAGGTTTTGGTTTGGTGCGTGCTTGGTATACTGCATGATCCAGGATGCTCCTCCATGGTCCTCGCCGAGAAAAATGCACACGTCCGAGCGATGCCAAGGACATAATTCGCATCGGTGCAACGATGCCTCGCTACCCCTCGGGCGACTGCCGATGTGGAGATGGTAACCTCCATTTTCCGCCCTGGCCAACTTATCCTCACCTGGCAGAAGACATGTGTGAAGACACGCAAAACCTTTCGGAGGTCCGCGCGGATCTCTTTGTACCGGCGCTGGACTCCCCCCTCCTTGGCGCGCGGAGCGCGCCAGTGGCGGCGTCGGAGGCGCCGCCAGAAGGTTCCAACGCCGATGCAAGACATCTGCAAGAACCCCCGAACATTTCTGGTTGTGCCGACTTTTTTTCGTCGATTCAATTTTCCATTCCTATCATTGAGTCGGGCGTGTCCCCCTACAGGCGGATTATGGACGAAAAAAACGAAGTAGTCAAAAACACACCCCAAATGCTCAAACATTGCCAAACAATCGTCCCTGGACTTGTTTAATACTATTTTTGAGCATTCCTCCTGTAGAGGGACAGGCCCGAATTGATCCTATCACCACTCTGCAGCGTCCACTGGACGAGCCCAGCTTCGGGTCGGGCGAAAGGGGGGGATAGCAAAGGGGGGGTTTGAGAATCAGCTCACGTAGCTGATTTTCCCGGCGCCTCCCGGCGCCGGAAGCGGCCATGTATCGAGGAATGGGCCCCTCGGTGAGGCCGAAACCAGCTACATGCAGCAAATTTCGTAACCCCCCCTTTCCCAACCCCCCCCTTTCGCCCAGCCCGACAGCTGTGGACAAGACGAGCCGCCCCGGCCCCAGGTGGGGAAACGCTGGCTCCGCCGGCCGACCTGCCCCCCGCGGCGCTTCTGCGCCGTCTCCCGCCCCCGCCTAGGAGGGTACGCTGGGAGAGCCCCTACCCTGTCCCAGGATCGGGGGGACGTAAGACCCGGGTACGGGGGACTCGGAAATCCCCGACGAGGTCGTCAAAAAAATGACGAGGCCGAGCCTGCATTTTGACGAGGCCTCCCGCTGCAGACATCCCACGAAACTCCTCCTCGTCAAAATCCGAGGCGCAATCGTCAAGAAACGATGGCGAACCCGAGTCCCGGCAAACCCGGGTCTTACGCTCCCCCGACCCTACCCTGTCCCAGGAGGCGGTGGGGACATTATCCGTCAACATCGAACCGCCGGGTGTCCGCACGAAGTCCAGAGGCCCCCCGGGGCTCCAGAATCGAACGAAAAGCTGGGGGCACCCCGGGCCAGGGGCACCTGTGGCAACCCCCGAAAAATCGACCTCGAAGCGCGTCAGATCGGCCGTGCCGGGATGCACAGCAGCTCGGGTGTTGCTAGAAGTGCCCCTGGCCCAAGGTGCCCCCCAGCTTTTCGCTCCTTTTTGCAGCCCCTGGGGCCCTCTGGGCCTCGTGAGGGGTGCTTTGGAAGCCGTTTGGGCCAACTATCCCGAGAATCCTGGGGGCACCTTGGCCCAGGGGCACTTCTAGCAACACCCGAACAGCGCCGCGCACGCCATCGGGCCGCGCCGCATCGACGCAACGTCGGCATCGGATCGGCCTGGGCCGGCCGAGAGGGCGACACCGCACCGGGCCTCGGTCGGACCGAGATGGGCCCTGCAAGCTGCCGGCCAGGGCGCCCCTGCCAGCGACGACGAGGCGCGGCGAGCCGTCGAGGCCTCGTCGCCGGACGGTTCGGCGTCCCCCCGGCTTTGGCGCTCGCCCAGGGCTCCGGGATCAGATCGGATCGAGCTCTGGCCAGGATCGGCATCGGATCGCATCGACCAGATCGAGATGGGCCCCAGTGGGGGTGGGGATGTCGGGCGCTGCTTGATGGGAGGGGGCGATGAAGTGTAGGCCGATCCACAAGAAACCTTCAACAAGAAACCCAACCCTGAGACACCAGGACGTCCATTGATTTTTGGCGTGGGGACGTCACGCTTTCCATAGCCAAACCATCGAAACCTCAGAAACCCAGGGCACCCTGGAGGCAACAGGGTGTTTTTTTTTGACATGGCCCCCCGCTGTATCGCCCCTTCCCGTTGCTTGGCGGCGCGCGCACAAGGGGTGGCGGGCGGGGGAAAGGCCTCTCAGGCGAAGGCTGCTTCTTGGAAGGCGCTGGCCCTGCATCTACAGCTACTGCCCGCGCCTTCTAAGAAACAGGGGTGCCTCGAAGCCACCCCCCCTCCCCTTACCCCCCTTCGCCGTAATTGGTGGGAGACGTGCGGCCGCGGCCACCAGGGCTTATCGAGTCGCTCTGCATCTCAACATCGTTTTCCCGATCCCCAACCCTACTGGCAGCGCCTCGGCCCCACTGCCCCTACCGGCCGAATTAATATCCCCCGCAAATGGGGATTTGCGCTGCTCCCTTCGGGGTGCGACGAGAGGCCTAATTTTGAGCAGGGACTGACCGTCCCGGCATTCCTATAGGCCTACCACAAGAAATGTTCTTAGAACCCAAACATGTTTTAATAACAAAAATAATGTTGTTAGAACATAGGCCCGACGTGCCAAAACAAGGCAGCCCTAGCCACAAAGCGACATTGAGCAACGTCTTAGTTGAGTCGTGGCGAAGCCCCTCCCTACCCTCCCCGCCGGGGGGGGGGGGGGGGTCGCCGGGGGGGGTCCCCGGGGGGGGTCGCCACCCAGATACGCATCCTCCCCGGGGGGTCCCGGAGCTCAGAAAAGCTTCAAGACGAGCCAAGAGCGACAGAAGACACCCCCAAAAGGGTACAAGAGGGCCTCGACTCGACGAACGATGGCCCCAAGACGCCCAAGACGGCCCGAAGACGGCCCAAGAGGCCCTCAAGACGCTCCAAGAGAGCCCCAAGAGCACACCCAAGAGGGCCCCAGGCGCCAAAATCGTCAATTTTACATAGGTTTTTGAATGATTTTGGCCTTCTCGCCTTTTCGGCTTTCCGACACTCCAAGACGGCCCAAGAGGCCCCCAAGAGGCCCCCAAGAGCGCCCCAAGAGGCCTACAAGAGGGCCCCAAGACGGCCCAAGAAGGCCCCAGGACAGCCTAAGAGGCGCCCAAGACGGCCCAATAGGGCCCCAAGACGGGCCCAAGAAACGGCCAAGAGGGGGACGAGGAACCGAGAATTCGAGACTTCCGCCCTAAGAGGCCCCCGGGAAGCCCCAAGAGGCCCCCAAAAGGCCCCAAGAGGCCCCCGAGCGGCGCCAAGACGCCCCCAAGATGCGCCGAAGACGGCCTCCGGAAGCCCCAAGAGGCCCAAAAGAGGCCCCAAGAGGCCCCACAACGGCCCCCAAGAGGCTTCAAGTTGCCTTCCAGACGCCCCCGAGAGGTCAACCACGAGATCCCAACCAACATCCATAAGGCCTCCTCCTCCTCCCCCTTCACCCTTCCTCCTCCTACTCCCTTCCGCCTCCTCCTCCTCCTCCTCCTCCTCCTGCCCCCCCCCTCGTGTTGTCTTTCGTCATCTTCAGGGTCGGCGGCAACGACCGTAAGGCCTTCGCAATAATGTTGTTAGAACATAGGCCCGACGTGCCAAAACAAGGCAGCCCCAGCCAGAAATGTTCTAAGAACATTTCGTGGGAACCAGAAAAGGTTCTTAGAATATTGTTTGGTAGGCCTATAGGCACGCCAGGACGCTTTCTTCGCCACTGCTTGAAATTATCCCCCCCCCCCCCCTGGTGTGCCGCACGCCGCTCCTCGGCCTGCGCCGCGCTGGGCGGGGCGGGCACGCCCGCGACATGCCCAGTGGCTGGCGGGACACGGATGCGCCGGCGTGTTGTTGTTGTTGTAGTAGTAGTAGTAGTTGTTGTAGTTGTTGTAGTTGTAATAGTTGTCATTGTAGTTGTAATTGAACTAGTAATAGTAGTCGTAGTCGTAGTAGTAGTCGTAGTATAGTAGTAGTAGTAGTAGCCAGTAGTAGTAGTAGTTAGTAGTAGTAGTAGTAGTAGTATAGTATAGTAGTAGTAGTAGTAGTAGTGTAGTAGTAGTAGTAGTAGTAGTAGTAGTAGTGGTAGTGGGTAGTGGTAGTAGTAGTAGTAGTAGTAGTAGAGTAGTAGTAGTATTAATAGGTCCTAGATAGTTAGTAGTTCGTAGTAGCAGTAGTAGTCGTAGTAGTAGTAGTAGTTAGTAGTAGTAGTAGTAGTAGGTCGTAGTAGTAGTAGTAGTATTAGTAGTAGTAGTAGTAGTCATTTAGTAATAGTAGTTAGTAGTAGTGTAGTAATCGTAGTAGTTAGTAGTAGTAGTAGTTAGTAGTAGGTGGTAGTGGTGAGTAGAGTAGTAGCATTAAGTAGAAGTCGTATACTTCGTAGTAGTAGTAGTTAGTAGTATAGTAGTAGTAGTAGTAGTCGTAGTAGTAGTAGTAGTACTTTACTAGTAGTAGTAGTAGTAATAGTAGTAGTAGTAGAGTCTAGTAGTAGTTAAGTAGTGGTAGTAGTAGTAGTAGGAGTGTACTAGTAGGTAGTAGTAGGCAGTAGTGGTAGTAGAAGTAGTAGTAGTGTATTAGTGAAGTAGTAGTAGTAGTAGTAGTAGTATTAGGAGAATAGTAGTCGTAGTCGTAGTAGTCGTAGTCGTAGTAGTAGTAGTTATGTAGTAGTAGTAGTAGTATTAGTAGTAGT